TGGCTTACAGATAGGGATGAATAAGGCTGCACCATGTGTGCACACTAAGAAGGGGATATTTCCAATGGAAAGGCTGTGTAGCACTCGCAGGGCTGCACAGCAAAGATCGCCAGATCAAGGAGAAGGATAAGTATTTGTCCAGGTGGACTGCGCTCAGGGGTGCGGACAAATAATTAAACACAATAGGGTTGATCTACTAAAAGCAAACAGACTATGCACTCTGAAACTCCAGAGCTTAGTAAATGAGGTGAAGCTTCACTTTGCAAAATATACCCAATCACATGCAAGGAAAATAAAAAAAAAAAAACTGCATTTCTGCTTGCACATGATTGGAGGATGAGAGTTTCCCCTCATTTATTAAGCTCTGGAGCAACTACACTTGCAAAGTGTACAGTTTGTTTAGCTTTTAGTAAATGAACCCCGATGTGCTTTTTCTTTATTTTGAACAAAATGCATTTACACAGCAAAAGCTTCCCAAAAGAGTACAAGACACTTCTGAGTCGCTTTAAAAGTTGCCAGCACTTGCCAAATGTTACTAGTGAGACTAAAAACAGCATGAAGCAAAGAGATGCACACATATTATGAACTATACACAATATAATATTTTACTTTTATGTTTTCAGGCATTGGATTTACAAAGCATTTGGAAAGGTTTAATAACCCAAAGCAAATCCAGTTATTTTCACCTCTGTTAAAGTTTATGTAAACCCTAACCATGAACGTCTCTTATTTGCCCCCTTTTGGTCTTTTAGGCCTCATGCACAGGGAGGTATTTGCCCCTACAGCATAAAAAACCGGGCCAACTACGGCACCTAGGAAGCACAGGTGGTGCATACAGCCCGCTGTCAGCAGTCTGTTAACCACATGCCGCCCCCAGCCACTGTATAAATACGTTGGTAGGGCAGCACGGGCAGGCAAAACCACGTTTTAAAACGTGTGTTTTGTAAACAGGTAGGGGCGCGCGCGCGAGGCGAGCCGTCGCCCTACCTGTCCTGCCGATCACAGCCGCGGATGTCAGTCGCCGGGTCACAGCCGGTCCTTACCGGCTATCTCCCGGCGGCAATCAGTGACAGAGAGCACAGCTGCAGTAGCTGTGCTTTCTGTCACTTCCCTGACAGCTCGAGGACAAGCTGATCAGGACAGAAGAGTTTCTCTCTCCCAATCAGCCTGCCCCATCCAGCACACACCCCCACCCCCTAGTAAAACACTCCCCTCACACAGATAACCCTTCCCTGAAAAATAAAGTTAACCCCTTCCTCCCCAGTGCCATTAGTACAGTGTCAGTATTTTTTTTTTGCACTGATCACTGTATTGGTGTCACTGGGGATGTCAGTGACCCCAAGTCAGTACCCCCCAATGTCAGAATGTCCGCCGCAGTCCTGCCATAAGTCGCTGTTCGCCGCCATTATTAGTATAAAAAAAAACTAAAAATCCCAGTATCTTTCCCGCCATTTGTAAACGCTATAACTTTCACGTAAACCAATTAATTTACACGTATTGGGTTTTTTTTTTTTAGCAAAGACATGTCGCAGAATGCATTTTGGCAGAAATTTATGACTAAATTTCATTTTTACATTTTTTTTTACTGGACATGTTTTATAGCAAAAAGTCCAAAATATTGTTTTCTTTCCTCAAAATTGACAGACTTTTTTTTTATAGCACAAAAAATAAAAACCGCACGGGCGATCAAATACCACCGAAAGAAAGCTCAATTTGTGAGAAAAAAAGGATGTAAATTTCATTTATGTACTGTATTGCATGACCGCGCAATTGTCCGTTAAACTAGCGCAGCGCTGTATAGCAAACAAATGGCGTAAATTGCAGTATCTATACCATAGTTTGTAGACGCTATAACTTTCACACAAAGCAATCAATATACACTTATTGGGATTTTTTTTTTACCAAAAACATGTAGCAGAATACATTTTGGCCTAAATTTATAACCAACTTTGAGTTTACTGTATATTTTTTATAGCTGAAAGTAAAAAATATTGTTTTTCTTCAAAATTTTTGGCCTTTTTTTGTTTATAGCGTGAAAAATAAAAAGCGCACAGGTGATCAAATACCACCGAAAGAAAGCTCTATTTGTGTGAAAAAAAGGACGTACATTTCGTTTGGGTGCAGCATTGCATGACCGCACAATTATCAGTTGAATTAGTGCAGCGCCGAGTAGCAAAAAGAGGCCTGGTCATTAAGGGGGGTAAATCCTCTGGAGATTTTGACAGGTTGCTGACAGCGAACTGTATGCACCACCTGTGCCTCCAAAATATACCCGTTTTATACAATGTATGGCAAATGCACCAATGTGTACTAGACCCAAGTATATCATTGAAAGAGTTTTGTAATAACTGTTTGATAAATGCAAAAAGCCCTGTTGATCATGTCAGAACTCTTGAGCTCTCCTGTGTCCTCTCCACACTTCTTGTAAAAGCCCTCCTATTTCTTATCATGGACTATAGAATGACTAGCCTTTATGTGACAGAGGTCTGAGAGTTGGAGTGGTTGAGTAGTTTAGCAAAAGATAATGTATAGGGCTGACACCACTAAATCCACAAAAATGCTGTGTGTGGTCATACAGCAAAAGCTAAGGTAATTTCTATCAGATCAAAAGTAAATATTCTGTACTCAATGACTTTCTGTCCTGCTGGCCATATGCCTATGTGTGACAGCACAGTGGTGAGCTTTAACATTGGGCTGGCAATGCAATTACTTGGTGCCTCCAGCACTGTAACCAAGCTGCCACTGACAGCTCCCAGTCACGGTGTTGTGCCTCTGCTACCAGCCTCTGGCATTGCTTAAAGGGCAGGATCCCATTGGCAGCAAGAGGTAGAGAGATAAAACATGGGGAAATGCGCATGTATTGCACAGATGTACTGCATGTTTTTTTTTTGTCTTGACATATTCTTTAGCCTGGATTCACACCAATTCAGTGCAGGAAATGCTGAGAAACCTGTGCGTTTCCTGCACTACATTGCAATTGCAACGTGTTCATGCGATCTGGTGCGGGTGTCACTGATAAATTAATGACACCCCGAAACAGATCGCAAAACACAATGCGATTGCCAGAAATTGCATCGCATAGGTGAGAACACCCATGCGATGCGAATTAGGTGCAGATTTAAAAACGGGTCTTCCACCTTTTTTTGGTGAGGATGCGATTTCAGCCATACAGAATGTATGGCTCAAATCGCACTGTGCTGACATTTGTATGTAATTCGCACACTGAATAGTATGAACCTGGGCTTAAGGATACTATGGAGGAGATTTACTGGTGCATCTGTGCATAGTAACCAGTCAGCTTCTAGTCTCCATGCACACGGGGAATTTTAATAACGCTGGCAACGTTAGCTGTGTAAAGTCACATTAAAAACGTGCATTTTTCACTGTTTTTGCATTAGTGTTGTTTTACCGTGTTTGCGTTATTTAGCGTTTTTTTTTTTTTTTCCAACAAAAACATTTTTTTTTTTTTGCTCAAAAAAGTCCAAAAACGCTGGTTTGCAATGATTTTACTGCGTTTTCAGAATTAGAGCATTTTTACAGATAAAAAACTCCTCTAGAAACCCACAAGTTCTGTTTTTTTTTTCCAGCCAAAAAACATCCTTGCCAAAAAACGCTGATTACAGTCTGTGTGCATGGACACATAGGATAACATGCTGGGGAGTTTACTGGCTGTAAAAAAAACATCAAAAGCCAAAAACAGCCGCTGTAAAAATGTCTAATGTGCATGAGGACTAAGGCTAGGTTCACATCTGTGTGGGTGGTGCCGCTATGGATCCACATGAAAATCTGTGTAGCCGCACCACCCCGCACAAAGAAATGCGGACCCGCAGGCGAGTGCCATTAGTTCTACCGGCACGCCGCCTGCACTGGGAACCGAGGTTCCCGTGAGGGCTGCGTTTTTAGAAGAAGTGCAGGGACGACTTCTTCCCTGCCTGCTACGGGGCACGGGAGTCCATTCAAATGAATGGGCTCTCGTGCCTGCGCAAAACGCGGCCCGCATGGCCGAATATATGTGAACCGGAGCTAATTGTCAAAGCTTAATTGAACAAGCTGTAGTTAGAAGCTGATTGGTAACTATGCACAGCCGCACCAGTTTCTGTGTGTTCCAGTTTTAGTACGGCCAGCCATACATTTGTCGAATTCCAAAAGAATTTTCTTTCGAAAATCTTTTCTAAAAATTTTCGTTCGAATTTCGCACCATTAGTGGGCCACAGCAACAGACGATTTTCGAGCTACCATCGAATTTGAGTGATCTGGCATGTCGGAAATTTTTTGAAAAACGAATGGATTTCTAATCAATGATGGGAGAATCGTACGAGAAATGTAATCAAAAAAGAAGCATGAGCTGTGACCTGGAAAAAAAAAAGAAAATTCTTGGCCACGAAAATTGTTTTCTGTAGCAACATGAAGTGAAATTAAAGGCTTGGCTGGTCGAATTTCAAAATCAAGGGTGGCACCATTGGATTACAAAATGCACAAAATTTCTGATTGTCTAAACGAAATTCGTTCGGAATTTGACCCGCGTATGACCTGAATAAGTCTCCCCCTGTGCTACATAGGAAGAGTAATGAGAACTGCAGTATTAACCCTTGTTTTCTCTGCTGAAAACGGACTGCTATCTACATAAACACTCAGTTGCGTGTCTCATATTTTTGCCTGAATATTGCAGGATGTTGGATCTTAGCAAAACTAAATACATAATCATTAACCACCTCCCGCCTGCCATACAGTAATATGATGGACGCAAGGTGGTTCTCTCGTTCTGGGAGGACGTCATATGACGTCCTCCCATTCTCACCGCGCATGCGAGGCTCAGGGAGCGCGCAGTGACTGGCACGGAAAGAGCTGAAGATGTCGGCTCAGTCATGTGATCAGCTGTGTCCAATCACAGCTGATCACATGTAAACAGGGAAATGCCGGTTATTGGCATTTCTCTCCTCTCGAGCTGTCACGCTGACAGAGGAGAGGAGAGCCGGTAATCGGCTTTCCGTGGAGGGGACATGTACACTGATCATCAGGGCACTGATGATCAGTGTGCCCTGATGATCAGTGTAGCCCCAGCAGCGTCACCTGTCAGTGTCCATCAGTGCCTCGTGCCAGTGCCCATCAGTGCCACATATCAGTGCCCATCTGAGCTACCTTTCACTGTCACCCATCACTGCCAGTCAGTGCCACCTATCAATGGCAATCAGTGCCACCTATCAGTGCTGCCTATCAGTGCCAGTCAGTGCCGCCTATCAGTGCGCATCAGTGCCACCTAACAGTGCCAGTCAGTGCCGCCTATCAGTGCCCATCAGTGATGCCTGTCAATGCCCATCAGTGCCACCTACCAGTGCCTCCTCATCAGTGCCACCTATCAGTGTCCATCAGTGCAGCCTATCAGTGCCATCACTGCAGCCTCATTAGCGCATATCAGTGAAGGAGAAAATTCACTCATTTGCAAAAATTTTTTAAAATTACAAAAAACTAAGAAAAAAATTTTTTTTTCCAAAATTTTCTGTGGTTTTTGGTTTATTTAAGAAAAAATAAAAAACCCAGAGGTGATTAAATACCACCAAAAGGAAGCTCTATCTGTCACAAAAAAATGATAAAAATTTCATATGGGTACAATGTTGCATGACCGCGCAATTTTCATTCAAAGTGCAACAGCGCTGAAAGCTGGAAATTGGCCTGGGCAGGAAGGGGGTATAAGTGCCCTGTAGGCGAGGGGTTAAAAAAAATGGCCTCTTCTGTCCTCATTCACAGCATTCTGATTATCACAGCAGGACAAATTCCCCTATAGATCTACTGAACGCCATGCTGAGGAACAGAAGGGTTAAGATTTTAGGCTACACCTTCCAGGAACGAGCCAAATGCCGCTTAAAGTCGATCGCTGTATTCCAGCAGCAGCCTGACTCACCTTCTGTAGAGCCCATGAAGTCTGTTCTAGTAAATGTTGGCAAATCTTCCTCACAAGTTCCATGCAGCTTTTGTTCATTGGACTCCGACACAAAATTTCCCAGAAGAACTTTTTTCCAGTATGTGCTAAAACAACACAGAGATTATAGTCACCGAAACTACACCAAGATCTTGCAGTGGAAAGAAAAATAGGCTGGTTTTATAGTTAATTTTATATTTACTGCAAAGTGCATGCCTTTATTGCACCTTCCTGTAAATCGTGATGGATTACAGAATAGGGGCTCTTTCACACGGGCAGTCAGAGACAGCAGTAAAAACAGACAGTTGAGCCTTGGTTTTACCACCCAGTTAAATTCTACTATTGCAACCAGATGGGGCTGTACACATGCAACAGCAATTTTAACTGGACTTGCAGAGTTTGACAGGCAGCGTTGCCTGTCAAACAAGCTCATTAAGGTCAATGGGATTGTGGCACAACTGCATGTTTTAACACAAAATCTCCCTCGGGATTAAAAAAATGTGAAGTGTGGTGCTGTCTACACACCCGTTAAAATGTCAGGTTTCTGTGGTGTAAGAAAACGAGACAAAGATAAATCTTTTCAGAACTTTTTCCACCCTTAATGTGACCTATAAAACTGTACAACTCAGTTGAACAACAAACTGAAATCTTTTAGGTTGAGGAAAGTAAAAATAAAAAACTAAAATAATTTGGTTGCATAAGTGTGCACACCCTTAAACTAATATTGAAGCACCTTTTGATGTGATTCCAGCACTCAGTCTTTTGGGGTATGAGTCTATCAGCATGGCACATCTTGACTTGGCAATATTTGCTCACTCTTCCTTGCAAAAACACTCCAAATCTGTCAGATTGCGAGGGCATCTCCTGTGCACAGCCCTCTTCAGATCACCACACAGATTTTTGATCGGATTCAGGTCTGGGCTCTGGCTGGGCCATTCCAAAACTTGAATCTTCTTCTGGTGAAGCCATTCCTTTGTTGATTTGGATGTATGTTTTGGGTCATTGCCATGCTGAGAGATGAAGTTCCTCTTCATGTTCAGATTTCTAGCAGAAGCCTGAAGGTTTTGTGCCAATATTGACTGGTATTTGGAACTGTTCATAATTCCATCTACCTTGACTAAGGCCCCAGTTCCAGCTGAAGAAAAACAGCCCCAAAGCATGATGCTGCCACCACCATGCTTCACTGTGGGTATGGTGTTCTTTTGGTGATGTGCAGGGTTGTTTTTGAGCCAAACATATCTTTTGGAATTACAGCCAAAAAGTTCAACCTTGATTTCATCAGACCATAACATATTGTCCCACATGCTTTTGGGAGACTTCAGATGTGTTTTTGCAAAATTAGCCAGGCTTGGATGTTCTTCTTCGTAGGAAAAGGCTTCCGTCTTGCCACTCTACCCCATAGCCCAGACATATGAAGAATATGGGAGATTGTTGTCACATGTACCACACAGCCAGTACTTGCCAGATATTTCTGCAGCTCCTTTAATGTTGCTGTAGGCCTCTTGGCAGCCTCCCAGACCAGTTTTCTTCTCATCTTTTCATCAATTTTGGAAGGACGTCCAGTTCTTGGTAATGTCACAGTTCTGCCATATTTTCTTCACTTGATGATGACTGTCTTCACTGTGTTCCATGGTATATCTAATGCCTTGGAAGTTCTTTTGTACCCTTCTCCTGACTGATACCTTTTAACAATGAGATCCCTCTGATGCTTTGGAAGCTCTCTGCGTACCATGGCTTTTGCTGTAGGATGCGACTAAGAAAATGTCAGAAAACACCTACTAGAACAGCTGAACTTTATTTGGGGTTAATCAGCGGCACTTTAAATGATGGCAGGTGTGTACTGACTCCTATTTAACATGATGTTAAATGTGATTGCTTAATTCTGAACACAGCTACATCCCCAGTCATAAGAGGGTGTGTCCACTTATGCAACCACATTATTTTAGTTTTTTTATGTTTACTTCCCTCCCTAAAAGATTTTAGTTTGTTTTTCAATTGAGTTGTACAGTTTATAGGTCACATTAAAGGTGGAAAAAGTTCTGCAATGACTTATCTTTGTTTCATTTTTTTACATCACAGAAACCTGACGTTTTAACAGGGTGTAGACTTTTTATATCCACTGTATGTACATATATATATATATATATATATATATATATATATATATGATATATATATATGATAAACAGATAATGGTCATATAGAAAGCAGATAACAAGACAGGGATATTAGCCTTCCCCTTTACTATCTGTCAAGGTCCTACCTTTCCTCAGAGCTTGTGCATCCCATGTGCTGGCATCCATCTTGGGTTTCTGCAAAGCATGGTGGGAACCTTTATGCTTTCAGGCTTCTGCGGCTCCTCCTCAGAAGGGTGTGGTTCATATCACATTTAAGCTTGCTGTCTGCAAGTGCTCTCTGCATTCGTGTCTTGTGTGTTAGTGTGACTATAGCTCTGTTTGTACTCTCGCGGCTCTCCTGGAATCTGACTCGGCTCTTGACTGACCATTCTCTGCATTTTCCATTGATCTGACCTTCCGTTGCTGAACCCGGCCTGTGACCTGTTATTCTTGTCTACCGTTCTGTACCGTTGTCATCGACCCGGCCTGCCCGACTACTCTTTGTCTAATCTGGTCCCTACCAGCTACACGCCATTGGCGAGGCCATTACCGCAGCTGGGGTGTCTCGGGGGCCGCGACCTGGTTCCTGGCTGCGTCAAGTCCATCCCCACAATCAGGGGCCCTGGTGAAGGGCAGCCTGGGACTTAGACTCCGCGCCCTGAGGGACTCCGGTCTGTGGGTGGTGGTTGTCGTCAGTCAGTGCATGACCCTGCCCTGACACTATCCAAAAGTTTAAAAAAATTTCTATAGATAACTGCTTTTTAAAGCTGTACTTTTTATAAGGAAGATGCACAAGAAGTGAGAGCACCAACGCTCAAGTTTATTAGGTCCAATTAATGAGTCACAGGTGTAGCCAACATAGCAGGAGGGCTCATTCAGGGTGCCGGGCACATAGCCTGGTTGCCTGATGGACACCCTGATCGAACCTTCCTGCATGTTATTATTAGATCCTTTTTAAACATTTAATCTTGGTCACTATGCTACCTAGTGGTTTATTCTGCAATTATAATGATATGAAGGGCTGGCGAGCAAATAAAAATCCACTGGACCTATTAAACTTTAGTGCTCTCACTTCCTGGACTGTCTTTTTGCATCGCTACAATGACCTTTGTTGGGTGCACCTTTCTTTTTTTTTTTTTACAAAGGTATTCTTTACACTAGTGTCAGTGCTACACCAACACTTCATTCTCTCTACGTTTTACAGAAGGCTGCTGATGTGAGTACCTCTAAAGCCGGCCATAAACGATTCAAATCTCAGCTGGTTCATTGGGGACCGACCAAGATTCAAACCATGTATGGGTAGGCTGAATGTACCCAAGTAGATCGATCGATCAACTTGGGTACAACCATCCTGTTGAGTTTTACAAGCGATTATTGCTATCGGCTATTATAGCTGCTAGCAGAAATCGCTGTGTTCTCTCTGCGGGGATGGCCTCTCCTGCCGGGAAGGAAACACAATCGCTCCACGGGAGGGATTTACCCATCAACCCTGACTGTGTTTATGGGGGAATTGAGCAGTTTTCTTTTTTGCAACCTATGGTTGCAGGAAAAGAAAATCGCTTCATCAATGACCAGCTTAAGGTTCTGATGATACAATCAACTTTAGATTTACCAAAGTGAAACAATATGAAAACCTGAGCGCACAGGACTCCGCTATTGAACATCCTGCATTGAACACAGGATTCCTGACTAGCTGCCTGTAAAAAATGTTTGAACCCAGCTAAGTGATAGATACAATGGGTCTGGTCCCACATTTAAACTTTGCTTTGACAATCCTTGTCATTTTGTGATTTTGTAGAGCAATGCACAAACTGAATGCACTATATAAATCCTGTTTAATAATGATAATAATCTTAGGAAAGAGGTACTACATATTTTTACTGGTACATAGTTTAGCTATAATCACCAAATAAAAAGGTAAACTATGGCTTTAAATATGTTCATTATATAATGAACTATAAATACAGTTGTGTTCAAAATAATAGCAGTGTGTTGAAAAAAGTGAATACAGCTCAAAATCCTTCTAATAGCTTTTATTTCCATACACACAAATGCATTGGGAACACGACACATTCTATTCCAAATCAAAACATGAAGAAAAATATATCAAATTTGTGTTGTTCCTCTAAAAAAAACTTGAAGAAAAGTGAATATTAGACTGTTCAAAAAAATAGCAGTGTTTGTATTCTTCTTTACAAACTCAAACATTCACTATATAAACTGAAAAATGTTTGAAGATTTTGCTTTCCTTTGAATCACTTAATGAATATTTGGTTGTAGTCGCACTGTTTCTGAGAACTGCTGTACATCTGTGTTGCATGGAGTCACCCAACTTCTGGCACCTGTGAACAGGTATTCCAGCCCAGGATGATTGGACTACATTCC